TCCTCTTCTCTTCACTAGAACTTCAGGCTGAGGTTTTCACCCATAGCATGTTTTTTATTTTTTTAAACAACCTTAATAAAGTAGGTCCCATAAGGAAGGAATGCTTACCTGCATTTAAGAGTGTATAGGTGCAATATGAACTGCAGAATACATGGTAGAACATGTAGCAGAAAATGAAAGGAGCCCTTTGACAAACTGAGAACACTTTACAGAACTTCTCCCCCCCCTCAATTATCATATTTAAATATTTAAATCAGGAAGGCATAAATATTGTACCAACTTGGGAGCAAGAGAGACAAAGTAAACAGGTTTGCAACCACTGAGCTGTAGAATTACATGAAAAGTTGCTATTAAAAATCAGTGGGAAAAAGGATGCATCTTCCACAGATTTCTTTTATGCCCAAGAATAATTTCATAGGCTGGGTGCATAGCTTTTTCTGTCACATTCCCTCTGAGTTTACTCAATGTGCAGAACTGCACCAGAGCAGGAGATGAGCTTTCAATTTTCCCAGAGTATGATTCTATTCTATCTTGTATGCTCATGACATTTAATTGCCAGCTCCTAAACAGTAAATACTAGTTTGGGTTTTTACCAAGGCTAAGTGAATTTAAACAGTACTGCAGCTCCTGACCTTTAACACATCTGCTGCTGTAAGGGAGGTTTTTCCTTTGTGTGGTTTTCTGCACCTCTACAGATTTGAAATACATTTCTCCTGCACAATACCCAAAATCACAAACAAATTACACTCTCTGTGTCAACATCTGAAACCAACTCACTAAATCACAACGTGCTGGGATGGAATTGCTGCCCCTATCATCTACCACTCACTGCTATCAAAGCCTATAACTGGATTAGTGGGAAAACAGCTGTATTACTCATACGTTTAAGCTCTTTCAAACAGCAGGTTTTCACCCTGCAACAAAGCACAGCACTTCAGATAAGAAACATGCAAATCCCAGAGGAAACCATGACATATTAACCCCTGGCTATCTTTATGTGACTTAATAGTTCATTCAATCTTTCTTCACTGGAAATAAATGCAAGAACTATATTGAATTGGTAGAACTAATGTTTTTAAAACATCTACTTTTGAGCTTTTTTCCCCTAGGATTTCTTCAAATATGAGGCACAGTTCATTAAATCATCCTGTCACTTTCAAGAAGTGATTGGCATCAGCTTAAATCCATGTCTTTCAGTTGTGGGCATGAATCATCATACATATGGGCTTTGTGGGACAACATCTCGGCAGAGGTTAGCAGTAAAACATCTCTCTAGTTAACTCAAAACCTCATACTAAAGACTCTGTGGTTATAAAAGATAACAAGTCATAAAACAACTGTCATATTTTAGGTCAAAAGATCCATGAGGGAAAGAAAAATTGTAGATAACTTCCAGTATAGTGCTAGTGTTCTTATATCCATCTGCTAATATTGTTTTAACTGAACATTTTCACTTAGCTTTTTGGACTTCTTATTTAGCCAATCATGTCTAATAGCAGGATGCTTCAAGAGAAAATTTTCCTAAGCAATAACAAGAAACATATTGAATAAATCTACATTTATTTCACCTAGAAAAAATGTTTAAGTTGATGTTTTGGGTTCTGGATTTCTTAAGAAAGCACTGGAGTTGGACTTTAGATACACCTTCTGTGTTACAGAATATTCTGTGAACCATGATCATAGACTTATAGAACAATTTAGACGGGAAAAGACCTTTAAGATTATCAAGTCCAACTGTTATAGTAATACTGCCAAGACTACCACTAAATCATGTCCCTAAGTGCCACATCTTTTAAATACGTCCAGGATGGTGACTCCACCACTTCTGTGGGTTAGCAACACTTCCAGAGAAGAAATTTTTCCTAATATCCAATCTGAACCTTTCCTGGTATAACTTGAAGGCTTGTTCACTATGTCCTATTGCTTGTCACTCATGAGAAGAGGCTGCCCCCCACCTGGTTACAGCCCTCCTTTCAGGTAGTTGTAGAGAGTGATATCTCCTTGAGCCTCCACTTCTCCAGGCTAAACTACCCCAGCTTCCTCATCCTCTCCTCATGAGACTTGTGCTCCAGACCCTTCATCAGCATTGTTGCCCTTCTCTGGACACACTCCTGCACCTCAGTGTTGTTCTTGTAGTGCAGGGCACAGAACTGAACACAGGATTCAAGGTGTGACCTCACTAGTGCTAAGTACCAGGGGACAGTTGCTGCCCTCGTCCTGCTGGACACACTGTTGCTCATACAGGCAAGGATGTCACTGGCCTTCTTGGCCACTTGGGCAACTTTTCAGCTATGGTTCAGCCACTGTCCATCAGCACTCCAGGGTCTTTTCTTCTGGGCAGCTTTCCAGCCACTTTTACCCCAGCCTGTAGCACTGCATGGAGTTATTGATTAAAGTGCAGGACCCAACACTTCACCTTGTTGAACCTCACACAGCTGGTCAGAGTCCATCGATCCAGCCCGTCCAAACCCCTCTGCAGACACTTCCTACCTTCAGCAGATCAGCACTCCCACACAACTTGGCATCATCTGCAAACTTACTGAGGGGGACTAAACTGATCCCCTCATCCAGATCATTGGTAAAGATATTGAACAGGACTGGACCCAACACTGAGCCCTGGGAAAAACCACTGGTGACTAAACGATATTTTGTGTAACACCATATCTCTAGATGATCTTCAGACTATTTAGAAAAATAAAAATATATTATTTTAAAATTAGAGAAGAATTAATGAATCATCTGCCATTTAACACAGCACATAAACCAAATAAATCATCTTTTCAACAAAGGTTTACAAGAAAGAATAAATGGAAAAAAACTAATCTGTAAAATGTTGACTTTAATATTTGAATAAAGACCTCAGACCTAAATGAAAACCATGTATGAAAGTTTCAAAGATCTAACTGAATGATCAGAATGATTGTTCTAATGCCTTGTTTTACTTCAGGTGTCAATATACCTAAATCAAATATAAAAATAAAGCAATATATATGAAGACAGTACAGCAACTAATAACAACTTTGCAGTGGATTAATTCATTATAGAAGCTAGGCTTGTGTACATACTTCTGTAAATAATCCTAAGAACAAATATTGAGTGTAATAATGTATCACCTTCTTGAGCAGTGGCACCTCTAGTGCTAACTTTGAGGCTTTGGTTGAACTGTGGAAAAATGTGGAAAAACTGAGTAAACTAAAGTAAAAGCTTTTTTAAAACAAGGAAAAATAAATTTAAAAAAGACCAGACTTCTGCATTCAATTCTCTCACTTGTAGAATGCCTTACAGTAGTACCACCATTGTTTTCTATCTATAGCATATGATTTCCTGTCTGTTGGAGAAATAAAATATGTATGTGTCCACCACAATTCCACTCGTCAATCATCTGAATACATGAAAATATTATACAAAAGTAATTGCAATACTGAAAGTATCTAATACAGACTTTTAAATTATAAGTGCACAATACCAAATAGCACTTTATAAAAGATTTAGAGATGTTATGTTTCATTATGAACATTTCTGCGAGTGCAGCCCTATTCTAATGATGAACAAAGCCCGACCAAAAATGTCCTCTTCCATTCTGCAGTCAAATATCTGCTGTGAACCTCTAAAGTTCATTCAAATAAAAAAAGATCCTTATATATTTTAAGTTACAAACCAGTGGGAAAATACACTGTAGAAAATATTCAAGGATTTCAAGTTCTTTTTTGACACAAATCCCAACCTTAGGGCTCACCAGAATAACACCGAACCTTAGCTAATAAAATACCCAGAGCCTAAGAAAGGCTTAGCTTTAAGATACACTGTTTCTGGTCATCTGGGAGAAAGTATAAGGAAAGAGTTTGGAAAGCTGTATAAATCAAGAGGTAGTAGGGGTCCAGATTTTCCAGCAGTGAAAGCTGGCACAGCTCCACTGAATGTAGTAATCAATTTCCATCACTTTAGGATTACAAGTTTTTTGGTTTTTAAATCACTGAACCTAACAAGATTTTAGCTCTCTAATACCATTATAGAAAAGCTTATTTCCTTCAATAATAATAATAATAGTAATAATAATAATAAACATTTCTTTGTTTTTTTCACTGCAATTTATAGTAAAGAAAATGGTCTAATTCACTATTAAAAACTTTAACAAAGGAAACACTATTGACAAAAAGGGCTTGTCTGCTACTTGGGCAAAGGTCTAGCTAGATTGACAGCAAACAATGAAGTAATATGTGTTTTAAAAAAGATTTCTTTTAGTTATATTTCTCCCTCAGGCTGGCTACAACACAACTGTAGAAGTTGAAAATTATCTCCAAAATCATTCCAGTTACTCATCATTCAGGCTGTCTCTTGTCATTAAGAGTACGTCAATGTTCCTATCCTAAATCCTTAGAATCAAAGCTCTACAGTTGAACAGTTTCATAAAAAAATAAAAAAAGCCATGCCTGAGGCTGGGACATGACATCCAAGGTATAAGCCTGAAAACTGAAAGTTGCCCATACCTTTTTCATGGTTTGCCCCCTCTATTTTATTATTTATTATGATATTATTTATTATGGAAAAAATTGCTTTGCTACCCATCTACCCAACTTCTCAGCAACACCTTTTTGGCAGGTCAGATATATGTCTGTACATCTTCTGTCATCATGCATCACTCAACATGAGCAACCTAAATATCTGCTGTGTGGAAACCATCAATTATTTCAAGAGAATTTGCATATACCAATCTAATGGAAGATGTGTTATAGAGACCACAGTACTCTACTGGAAAGGAGAATTTGGCTATGCAGAGGTTTATTTAAATGACTTTCGCCCTTCACTCAAATGTATATATATGAACAATTCCAGGACATTCATTTTACTTTATTAGAAAAAAAATTCCAAACGTGGTGTTTTGCAGTATACTTTAAGTCTCTTTGCAGCTTAACATTCAAGGATCTAATATTTAGGATTAAAAATAGTCTGCTTATAGCTTTGTTGACAATGAAAATTTTGTAGAAAGAACAGATACTCACTGAAACTACATTCACAAAGTCGTCATCAGACAACGTCTCTAACATCTCAATGACCGAGGTGCGGATCAGCTTCAATGTCAATCCACTGACACTCCCACTCCTAATAAAAATCCACAAGATAATAAAAAAGCTGAATTTAATAAATGTTATGTAAAATGTACAGAGGAAATACAGAGCACCCACCAGCTCTCTGACCAGCTTTCACATTAAAACTGTCAGTTTAGCTCTTCAATGCTCCAGCTCATCATTAGCATTATTACACTATTATTAATTACTAAATTAAGTCCAAAACTGTCAAAGTCCCAGTCCTGTGGCTTAGTTAAAGTTATAACGGTACATCATTTTCTTTTCAAGAAGTCTGAAAATTTTACCAATGCCTTATCTAAACATTTTATATTCCTACACACAGATTTACAGTTTTAGATTTTCAGATATGCAAATGAAAGCTTGTTTGATTCAAGGCAAAACCTAAGCTGAAGTGAAGAAATAACAAGTGCTGATAAAACTCACTGCTGATATGAAAGCACTTCACCCCATGTAAAAGCATTAAATGTAAATTCTCTGACTGAGAAGCTTTTCAGCATAAAGCAGACTGAGACATCAGGTTCAATGCTTCCTTCATTAACTACACCAAGGAAGTCTCATCAACACAAAGACAGAGCTCTCATTAATTTGTTTACTCACTTTCTAGTGACTTGGCAATTTTAAAATCTGTATGGTAAAACAGGAAAAGTCTGCATATGTTCTCATCTTTCAGGCTCACGATATCACGACTGCATCTACTGTAATGCTTCTAGTCATTTGTTTTTAGGTTTGTGTACTACAACAAATCTAGGCGTGCAAATGAGAAATATTGATTACTTGATTGCTTCAGTAATTAGGAAGTTGAAAGCAGAATAATATTGAGGAGATTAAAAAAAAATCAGCTACCTTGTCCCCAGTGTAAGTAACTTTCGGGTTTGGTTTGGGCTTTTGGAACTATTTTTTACTGTGTATTTATTTCGTTCATACCACACGTTTTGAACCTTGCATATAAGGACCTCTTAATCCCCTCTCTATCTTTCAGCACACAGAGCTTTGCTGAATACATGTAGGTCCTTTAATCCCTCTAATGTCAGTATTCGGACATTAAACACTTACGCATCAACTAAAATAAGCATGTCTTTGGGAGATGCAGCTCCTTGGATATACCTGAAATAAATAAATGTCATAAATGAGACAAATTTGAAAACACATTTTCTGTGAGTGATGGAAGACACTCTGTGATCTCTAAACTCAAACTAGCTGAACTAACAAAATCTTCCTGTTGTAGCTACTACAAAAACCATGTGCTATTATTTTCTCTCTTGCTGTGTTTTCTAAGCAAATCAAAGTCTAAACCACATTAGGGAAATCTGGAAGTAGGATACACTGATCAAAATTCACTGTTTTCAGATGTTTAAAAATGAAAAAAAATTAATGTTATTTCAGAGCTAAAGATCTTGATGACAGATGAATTATTACTCAGCCCAGCTTAGGGACAAATATTCAGTCCTTTGAAAAAAATATATCCAGTTATATCCAAGCACCAAAATGTTTCATGTCCTGGGAGGTTTACGGAAAAAAATCTTGAGAAGTAATCCCATTGCTCTCCTGTCTTTTAGTAATCTAGTGATTTTATAGCTGGTCTGAACTACTGAGACTTATTTTTTAAACATTTGCAAAATTTGGAGGAATGGTCTAACACTCTGAATTATATTTTATTTTGGTACAAAATAAAAAGGTTTTAATTGCCTTATACCTATTTGATAGTTATGAAAAGGTCCACGTATTGCAATAGTATGATGCACTATAGTGGATATTGCGCAACAAGGAATATGATTTCAAGATTGTTTATTCAAAAGAATTAACTAATTTTTAAAAGCAAATTACAATACCCAAAAGTAGGGACTATCAGACATAAATAAACAGAAAAAATGTTTTACAGCAATATCTAGAAAGCAAGTGATGTATATATTTACAAGCCTTTAAAAAGAAAGCTTACCATGGTCTTCTGCGTACATCATACAGATCTATCTTGTTAGGAGTTCGGCTTTTATCTACCCACGGGGAAGCTAAAAAGAAAAAAAGTATGGAATAAATTCGAAACTTCATCTCAAGTATTTTAATTGCAACAATATAATGAATATCACAGACTTTGCACTACATAAATATCAACATTTGGTATTGATAAAAAAGTCTGTATTTGTGAATAATGTTGTTGAAATACCTATATACCCATATATATGACCATATAATGCAATAACACTATATATATAAAAACCTTCAAGGGCCAAGTGTGCTGAAGAAACGGTACTGACTATAATTGACCTCTGATTTCAATGGAACCATAAATTCAACTGAAGTAGTTCAGAATATGAAACAACTTTTTAAAATAAATACTTCAATAAAAAAACTTATAAGTTAACTATAATTACATACAATTATGCTGTACCAATCTAAAGCTCAGTTATACACCTAAACAACTGTACACTGACTCAAGAGGTTTACCAAAAAAGGCAAATTAGAAAAGTAACATGAAAGTATCGTATTTTCTGAAAACAAAATGAGATTTACATACTTGTATCTCTGTAAAGAAAATGGTAAGATTAATAGCCTTTTCCACGTGTTTAATCTAGGCTTCACCATGATTTTCAGCAAGTGCAGGAATCTTTTCCTTGCTGAAAAAACAAAATGAGCCTTTCAAAACCACTTGACAGTTTAACGAACACAAATAAAAATTTGAAAAGTTACAGGGAATGAGATAATGTTCTGCAATTTTTTCTCTCCCTGTATGCCAACGGCCTTGTGGGAGCTATTTCCTGACATTAATAATTTTCCTGTCTAGGAAATAAAGAAGGATATGAGCAGATCCAGGATTCTTCCTGAAAAAGCATTTATCTAAGACAAAATGGAAGAATTATGATATCTCTACCTTTAAATATAAAAGAAGCCACCAGCTTTGAATAGCTGCCTTTTTTTGATGTTACAAAATGAACCCTTTCCTAAGTCACCAAACCCTGAGTTGGCTCAGAACATTTAAGCCAAGTGTAACCCAAAGGACATTTATCAGTACACATTTAACAGCGACAGAAAACACTGTGGTGCTGCACACCAGGAGAACCTCTAAGTTTACATCAGCATTGTCTGTGAACTCAGACTAGACCACCTGACGTGTCCTTTGGGACCTGACAGCATAAGAGTATTTGAAATTTCCAGAAATTAGAAAATTGAATTTTTCAGATTGATATACATGAAATTCTAACTTAAGTATCATTACTCAGATATACACAGGTTAAATTCACCAGGATTTTATGAGCCTACATGGTTAGCACATGTTCAATGATGGACTTTTTGTGTCTGTCCAGGGTATCCTATTCATAGGAATTCCATCTAAAAATACATCCTTCAACAACATTCCCTGAGACTTGCAAAATCTGCATGCAGTGTACTCATTTCAGTTTGTATTGTGACTGGTTTAAGCAAAATACCAAATATAAATCAAGATACTGACCAACACTGCTATATCTTTGCCAAAACTTTCAGTCTTTCCAGTGACATCCAATAAAAGGTTATACCATACCAAATCTGTCCTTCTTAATAGACATATTTGGACAGTCTTCATAAACAGAGAATTACCTGAATGTATGATCTGGATTTATTTCAAAACAACACATAAAATGAAATTTACACAGGCAATGCCACTTTTTTTCATATGAAAGATAAGTCCAACTCCTAAAGTGCATTCTCCAAAGCAAATGGATGTGGTTCACAGAGAATTTCAATGAAGGAGCTGAAGAGTGTTCCTTCTAACATTATCATCATATTCTACTGTGACAGTAGATACTGGTATAGTTAACCATTTATAATTGAATCAATGTTCTAAAGACACACAAAGTAAGACTGTCCCCATAGCCAACACAAATTATCTTCTGAAAACCATCACACGTACATTTAGCTAAATTTTTTCTGATACCATAACCTTCAGGAAAATGATATTGTAACTTCACATACTATTTTAAACTCTCTAAGTAACACTCTAAGTGCTAAAGTAAAATTTAAAGAAATATAGGTTAAGCTTACATTTTACTTGTGTAAAAGAAGACTTTGAGAAATAATTCAGCTCCTTTTTTCTACAAAATTTGAGACCCATAAACACATGCTAATGTAATATCACCTGACACCACTTCCTTGACATCAGTGCCAGTTGTCTAAACAGAAAGCACTTCAGAACTGGGGCCTTTAGATCACTGTATGGCAAATCTTCCAGAACTAGGAAGAGGTAAAATTAACACCAACTTAAATACCAAATAATAAAATTTGAAATGCTTGACACTTTTCCTAGTATTTCCAAAAGCACCAAAAGTCTTTGTATAACAAAAGTTGATTAAAAAAAAAAAAAAAATGGAATGCACACCACAACGACACTTTTATAAATTACTTCCTTTCTTTTTTTCCCTCTAAATATGGAGAAGATGCTCAAAACTTCGGGTTGAAACAGAGTAAAATGAACGAAGACAAATGTTTCCAAATTGTTCTTTAGTGGAATTCCTTCTGTTAAGACTTGAACTGCTAAGCCTTGCACTCAGTTCTACCATAGCTTTTCAGTAAAGTTCTGGAGTTCAACAAGGTCTGAATGGTCCCCTTCTGGATAAAAAGCACAACAGAATGGAACACATCAACTAGAACTATGCTAAGAATTATTACAACAGTCCAATTATACACGAACTAAACTACGAATAAACCACTCATCACACTACTTACAGCCTCTCTAATCCTTTTGGAGATTACTTTCAATGGTAACACAGTTTTTCTTTTCGGGAGGTAGACACAGAGCTGAACACAACAGCTGAATTCTACTTCTCTTTCAATACAAACACCACAGCCCTTTCAGTACAGACAGTCCTGGAAAGATTGTCAGCAGCTCCAGGGAGATCTGGAGAAGGTCTTTAGAAACATTATATTTTATCATGCCATTAAACCAGTATTTTCTGTGCCACATGTCAATACGTTTCACTTCCCTAATTAAGATATTATTTTCTGTGCAGACAAATATAACAAGCGCCTACACGTTTAAGTTTCCATGATTGAAAAAATTATCATTAATGGGTGGTGGATCATACGCTAATTAAGACATATAATGTTTAATGATGGTTTCTACAATAGTTTACATAATCTAGTAGAAAGTCTTTGCATGACTAAACATAAATAAGGACTCAGGCCTTAGTATCTAAAATTTCATTCACACCAAAGAAGTGTTGAACTCCTTCCTCAACCTCAAGAATTATCATGACTAAATTACTCATTCATCCTAGACTCTCTCTGGAATAATACTTTTAATTTTAGATAGCTTTGAATGATCTCAAATCTATTCACTGGTTTTGGTAACACGCTGAGTATTTATGGATACTGTTGAAATGGTTATTAAGAGGAAACTGAAATTCCCTTATGATATTTGATCTCCACTGATCAATTTTAATGTATTCTTATTTTGGTCAAAGGTGATAAATGCTTTCTATGCAAAAACAAATATGGATCTATAATTATACAGAAATAATGAGAAGGGATAGAGACCACTGAAAGAAAAATGTGTTCCCTTGGTCCATATACAGAATATACTCTAAAGACATTTGGAGAAACAGGCTTACATCTTACTGACGAGAGCCATTACATGGTCTAAGATGAAAGCAAAATGAAATACACAAAAAGCATGATTACATTTTTTCCTAAAAAAATTAAAATCGCAGATCAAGGATTTGGAGAGTTAGAGTTTTATTTCTATAACCTATTTTTTAACACTTTTTTATCAGATGCCTTGGAATCCAGCTCACCAACATCTTCAAGAAATCAGCCTCCCTGTGTTTCATTATTGCATGTGACTATCTTTGAACTATATCAGCACTGCATGGTTCTCTGGTGCATACATTAGGCTTTAGTCATGTTCCCCTTTGATGATTTTGTTGTTTGGCATGTGGATAGATTTGATACTTTATAAATTATTCATTGGATTTGATATCCTTCCCACCTCTGCTGTTTGCATTATGGAGATATAGGACAGGCTACATTTCAAGCAAGAGTAAGGCATGCTTTTCTTTTATTTCTGCACATATGGAGTGGAAATCCTCAGATTTTTTGATTACAAGTAGAACCAATTCATGCAGTACAGAGACTGTCACAGGGTAAATCCTAAGTGAAAGTATTTCTTAGGAAAGGGAGACCTTGGCTACAACCTCCCATTCTGAATGCATGAGATGATTCCAGAGGCATAGGTGAGTGTCACAAGGGAAACTTTCCTGAAAAGTCCTGCCCTGCTCTACTGGTTAGGTACGTCTGTGTAAGGATCAGATAGGCAGAGATGAATTATTAACAGCTTTACATCCCTTTGCACTATTAATACATTTGGGGAAAGAGGCTAAAGGTGACAGTAAGACAGGCAAGAAATGCCAATTATCAAATCCCAGACAGCATCATATTATTTTGACTCAAGCCACATTACCTTTCCATCTCAGAGGGTTACTTGATCGTTAACCTCAATATAGCATTTACCAGGTGTAATATCCCACCAGGTTAGAAAATAAATATTTGTTAAAGTTGAATTTTACCTTGCTATTTCTCCAATCAACATTCATGTGGATAATCAAAACAATCAAAACCATAGATTATTTAATTCCCTGAGCCAGATTCAGTAAGATCTTCCTCAGATGGAGCAACGATATCAGCTACAATATATACTTTGCCACTAGTTTAATTTCTTATTTATTTTCATCTTTTAGTAAACTTCTGTGAAAAAAACTGCATCAATATATGTGATAGCCCAGACTATTTGAGAAATGTGATATTTCTCATCTTATTATTTAGAAAGAAGTCAACTGAATTTCAGGGTAGCAGCAGCAGCACCTTTGTACAATTCCTTAGCTATTTTTCAGTAAAAGGTGAAAAGTGGCAAGACACAGTAATTAAAAATAAGAAACAGCCACAACTTTAAGAGCCTCTTGCATTAATCATCATAAAGTGTTTTCAGCTGCTAAGCTTAGTACTCAGGGTATTTGTATAATAATGATGCCTTGGATTAACA